TCCCGTCTCCCACAGGTCCCGTCTCCCACAGTCCTGTCTCCCACAGGTCTGTCTCCCATGGTCCTGTCTCCCACGGTCCCGTCTCCCACAGGTCTGTCTCCCACAGTCCCGTCTCCCACAGTCCCGTCTCCCACAGTCCCGTCTCCCACAGCCCTGTCTCCCACGGTCCCGTCTCCCACGGTCCCGTCCCCCACAGGTCTGTCTCCCACAGGTCTGTCTCCCACGGTCCTGTCCCCCACGGTCCTGTCTNTCCCACAGGTCTGTCTCCCACAGTCCTGTCCCCCACGGTCCTGTCTCCCATGGTCCTGTCTCCCACAGTCCTGTCTCCCACAGTCCTGTCCCCCACAGTCCTGTCTCCCATGGTCCTATCTCCCACAGTCCTGTCTCCCACAGGTCTGTCTCAAGCCCTGAGCTCGCTCCCGAGTTCCCACGTTTATATTCAACGCCTTTGGGACGTGTCCACCGTAGCACTTGTCAGGCATCTTTCTCGAGCTTAGCGTGGGAGAGACAGGCCCAAGCCTGCTTTCCTTTCACATGCCCACCTCTCAGTTCACGCTGACTTAGCTGATCCAGTAAGAAGCTTGGGACCATCGCTGCTCTTCCTCTGGGCCCCCTCCCCTCATTGTTGGTGCTGCCTTCCCTGCTCCCCGAATGTGGCCGCATCCACCCGCCTCTGCATTTTTACTGCTGCCCCCTGGCTGAATCAACCCGCACCTCCCCCGGGACGACCGCTGCCCTGTCCGCTGCCAGTCCTGCCTTTCGAGAGGCCCTCATATCCTCAGAGTGCAGCAGTCATCAAACTAAACAAAAAAGAAGAAAGAAGCCAAAGTCAGATCACGTCATATATCTGCTTAAAGGAAAAACCAGACTCATAGCAAAAGAGGTCAGCAGAGGGGGAGGGGCAGGGGAGGGGAGGGAGTTGGATGAAGGTGTCCAAGGTGCAAGCTCCCAGCTAGGACAGAAGTAAGAATTCGGGATGCTGTATTAACACTGCTGTGTGGTGTACAGGAAAGTTGTTTGGAGAGTAAATCCCATCACAAGTAGTTCTCATCACAAGGAAAAAAAATATCACCATTTTTTCTAAAATTTGGTATCTATATGAGATGATGGATGTCAGCTAAATTATTGCAGTAATCAATAAATTGATTGCATTTAAATAAATTATTGCACGTATTTCTCAACACGTGTAAGTCAAGTCGTTATGCCTTACACCGTAAACTTATAAAGAACTCTATGTCAGTTATATCTCTATACAACTGGGGGGGGGGTGCTTCTTAATTTTAGGCTAGTTTAATGGAGTTTTGATGGGTAAGAGCTGGAAATAAATTCTTTCAATATATTTACAATTGTCAGGTGCTTTTTAACCTTTAAATATTTTGTTTTATCCACCAAATAATACAGGGAGAACATGAAAATTGCTTAAAGAGAAAGAAAGTAGATCACTTGGAAAAGATTTTAAAAACAAAAAGATTTTCTAGCCTGAAAGAGTAAAAGAGAGTGGAAAAAGGAAAACCCCATGGTCTAAAAGAGCCCACATAGTCACAGCCCTTCTCACCCCTCAAGGTCACCTTCCAGGACGCCCCTCGAGCTCAGCCACCCTCACCTCACAGTCCTCTCTGAGTCTCTGGTGAGTGAGGGTTTGTTTGCTGCCATCGCAGAGCTCTGGCTGTTGCCATTCCTTCTGCCTGGAATAACCCTCGCCGGCATGAGGGCATCGGTCCCATCCCACCATTCAAGTTCTGCCTTACCATGGCTCTTCAGGGAGGCCTTCCCTTACCCCCTTGGTAAGGTAGTCCAGTGTGTCTGGAATCCCAGTCAATGCTAACAGCCCTGGCGTCACCGTCTCAGAAAGCTGGATCCAGTCAAATGGACCCAAACTTTAATAGACTGGCCCCTGACTCCAGTGAGGGCACCTTGGACTCTCACCTCGAGGCAAGAGGTCCTTTCCGTTCACTGTGCCATCGGGCACTTGTTGCTGCTGCCAGGAGGGCAGGTCAATGGCAGAGGCGGGACAAATAACTCAGAAAGCTCAAATGTGCTGACTTGTGCGCCTGCAGAGAGCTAACTGTGCCTCCTCTCCGAAGGATTCACAGGTTTGGAGCTGGGGAGCTTTCAAAGGCAGCTGGGAAGTTCTACAACAGGGAAGAAAGAGAGGAATTAAAGCTGCTTGTGAGGGGTAGCTGGGAAGGGTCAGGAAGGTGACAGAATAGTCTATCTGCCTTGTTGTAACAATGCATTTCCTCCCCCAAATTCAGTGTCAAGTCAGGCCTCAGCCAGGGGTCCTCCTGGAATAAAGATGGAAGTATGTGNGTCTCCCACAGTCCCGTCTCCCACAGTCCCGTCTCCCACAGCCCTGTCTCCCACAGGTCTGTCTCCCACAGTCCCGCCTCCCACAGTCCCGTCTCCCACAGCCCTGTCTCCCACAGTCTTGTCTCCCACAGTCCCGTCTCCCACAGTCCCGTCTCCCACGGTCCTGTCCCCCACAGGTCTGTCTCCCACAGGTCTGTCTCCCACAGTCCTGTCCCCCACGGTCCTGTCTCCCATGGTCCTGTCTCCCACAGTCCTGTCTCCCACAGTCCTGTCCCCCACAGTCCTGTCTCCCATGGTCCTATCTCCCACAGTCCTGTCTCCCACAGGTCTGTCTCCCATGGTCCTGTCTCCCACGGTCCTGTCTCCCACAGGCCTGTCTCCCACAGTCCCGTCTCCCACAGTCCCGTCTCCCACAGCCCTGTCTCCCACAGGTCTGTCTCCCACAGTCCCGTCTCCCACAGTCCCGTCTCCCACAGCCCTGTCTCCCACAGGTCTGTCTCCCACAGTCCCGTCTCCCACAGTCCCGTCTCCCACAGCCCTGTCTCCCACAGGTCTGTCTCCCACAGTCCCGTCTCCCACAGTCCCGTCTCCCACAGCCCTGTCTCCCACAGGTCTGTCTCCCACAGTCCCGTCTCCCACAGTCCCGTCTCCCACAGCCCTGTCTCCCACAGGTCTGTCTCCCACAGTCCCGTCTCCCACAGTCCCGTCTCCCACAGCCCTGTCTCCCACAGGTCTGTCTCCCACAGTCCCGTCTCCCACAGTCCCGTCTCCCACAGCCCTGTCTCCCACAGGTCTGTCTCCCACAGTCCCGTCTCCCACAGTCCCGTCTCCCACAGCCCTGTCTCCCACAGGTCTGTCTCCCACAGTCCCGCCTCCCACAGTCCCGTCTCCCACAGCCCTGTCTCCCACAGTCTTGTCTCCCACAGTCCCGTCTCCCACAGTCCCGTCTCCCACGGTCCTGTCCCCCACAGGTCTGTCTNGTCCCGTCTCCCACAGCCCTGTCTCCCACGGTCCCGTCTCCCACGGTCCCGTCCCCCACAGGTCTGTCTCCCACAGGTCTGTCTCCCACGGTCCTGTCCCCCACGGTCCTGTCTCCCACGGTCCTGTCTCCCACGGTCCTGTCTCCCACAGTCCTGTCCCCCACAGTCCTGTCTCCCATGGTCCTATCTCCCACANTTCTCTTCTGAGCCTGCAGTGCTTTCCAACTCTGCTAGCGACTCCCACAGGCCCGTCTCCCACAGGCCCGTCTCCCACGGCCCCGTCCCCCACGGTCCCGTCCCCCACGGTCCCGTCCCCCACGGTCCCGTCCCCCACGGTCCCGTCCCCCACGGTCCCGTCTCCCACGGTCCCGTCTCCCACGGTCCCGTCTCCCACAGGTCTGTCTCCCACAGTCCCGTCTCCCACAGTCCCGTCTCCCACAGTCCCGTCTCCCACAGCCCTGTCTCCCACGGTCCCGTCTCCCACGGTCCCGTCCCCCACAGGTCTGTCTCCCACAGGTCTGTCTCCCACGGTCCTGTCCCCCACGGTCCTGTCTCCCACGGTCCTGTCTCCCACGGTCCTGTCTCCCACAGTCCTGTCCCCCACAGTCCTGTCCCCCACGGTCCTATCTCCCACAGTCCTGTCTCCCACAGGTCTGTCTCAAGCCCTGAGCTCGCTCCCGAGTTCCCACGTTTATATTCAACGCCTTTGGGACGTGTCCACCGTAGCACTTGTCAGGCATCTTTCTCGAGCTTAGCGTGGGAGAGACAGGCCCAAGCCTGCTTTCCTTTCACATGCCCACCTCTCAGTTCACGCTGACTTAGCTGATCCAGTAAGAAGCTTGGGACCATCGCTGCTCTTCCTCTGGGCCCCCTCCCCTCATTGTTGGTGCTGCCTTCCCTGCTCCCCGAATGTGGCCGCATCCACCCGCCTCTGCATTTTTACTGCTGCCCCCTGGCTGAATCAACCCGCACCTCCCCCGGGACGACCGCTGCCCTGTCCGCTGCCAGTCCTGCCTTTCGAGAGGCCCTCATATCCTCAGAGTGCAGCAGTCATCAAACTAAACAAAAAAGAAGAAAGAAGCCAAAGTCAGATCACGTCATATATCTGCTTAAAGGAAAAACCAGACTCATAGCAAAAGAGGTCAGCAGAGGGGGAGGGGCAGGGGAGGGGAGGGAGTTGGATGAAGGTGTCCAAGGTGCAAGCTCCCAGCTAGGACAGAAGTAAGAATTCGGGATGCTGTATTAACACTGCTGTGTGGTGTACAGGAAAGTTGTTTGGAGAGTAAATCCCATCACAAGTAGTTCTCATCACAAGGAAAAAAAATATCACCATTTTTTCTAAAATTTGGTATCTATATGAGATGATGGATGTCAGCTAAATTATTGCAGTAATCAATAAATTGATTGCATTTAAATAAATTATTGCACGTATTTCTCAACACGTGTAAGTCAAGTCGTTATGCCTTACACCGTAAACTTATAAAGAACTCTATGTCAGTTATATCTCTATACAACTGGGGGGGGGGTGCTTCTTAATTTTAGGCTAGTTTAATGGAGTTTTGATGGGTAAGAGCTGGAAATAAATTCTTTCAATATATTTACAATTGTCAGGTGCTTTTTAACGTTTAAATATTTTGTTTTATCCACCAAATAATACAGGGAGAACATGAAAATTGCTTAAAGAGAAAGAAAGTAGATCACTTGGAAAAGATTTTAAAAACAAAAAGATTTTCTAGCCTGAAAGAGTAAAAGAGAGTGGAAAAAGGAAAACCCCATGGTCTAAAAGAGCCCACATAGTCACAGCCCTTCTCACCCCTCAAGGTCACCTTCCAGGACGCCCCTCGAGCTCAGCCACCCTCACCTCACAGTCCTCTCTGAGTCTCTGGTGAGTGAGGGTTTGTTTGCTGCCATCGCAGAGCTCTGGCTGTTGCCATTCCTTCTGCCTGGAATAACCCTCGCCGGCATGAGGGCATCGGTCCCATCCCACCATTCAAGTTCTGCCTTACCATGGCTCTTCAGGGAGGCCTTCCCTTACCCCCTTGGTAAGGTAGTCCAGTGTGTCTGGAATCCCAGTCAATGCTAACAGCCCTGGCGTCACCGTCTCAGAAAGCTGGATCCAGTCAAATGGACCCAAACTTTAATAGACTGGCCCCTGACTCCAGTGAGGGCACCTTGGACTCTCACCTCGAGGCAAGAGGTCCTTTCCGTTCACTGTGCCATCGGGCACTTGTTGCTGCTGCCAGGAGGGCAGGTCAATGGCAGAGGCGGGACAAATAACTCAGAAAGCTCAAATGTGCTGACTTGTGCGCCTGCAGAGAGCTAACTGTGCCTCCTCTCCGAAGGATTCACAGGTTTGGAGCTGGGGAGCTTTCAAAGGCAGCTGGGAAGTTCTACAACAGGGAAGAAAGAGAGGAATTAAAGCTGCTTGTGAGGGGTAGCTGGGAAGGGTCAGGAAGGTGACAGAATAGTCTATCTGCCTTGTTGTAACAATGCATTTCCTCCCCCAAATTCAGTGTCAAGTCAGGCCTCAGCCAGGGGTCCTCCTGGAATAAAGATGGAAGTATGTGCTTTTGTTTTCTGCTTCTTTAAATCAGAATTGCTCAGCTTCAGCATTGGTGACATTTGGGGCAGGAGGGTCCTCTGGATGGGGCCTTGCTACACACTGCAGGATGCTCAGCAGCACCCCTGGCTTTTACTCACTGGATGGTGGTAGCAGCCTCCCCAGCCATGAAAATAAAAAATGTCTCCACAGAGCCCAGCAAGTGTGGCTCAGTGGGTTAGCTCATTACCCAGTGCACTGGAAGGTTGCAGGTTCAATCCCCAGCTTGGTGGGGGTGTGTGTGGGAGACAACCAATCAATGTTTCCCTTTCACATCAATGTTTCTCTCTCTCTCTCTTCCACTCTCTCTGAAGTCAATGGAAAAAAAAAAAAAATCCTCAAAAATGTCTCCAGACATTGCTAAATGTCTTTCAGGGGGGAAGGAGGATAACAAAATTTCCCTCCAGTTAAGAGCTGCTGCTTTAAATTAATTTTTTCTTTTACTGTTACTTCTTAGCTTTTTAAAAAAATTATCTTTATTGTTGAAAGTATTATAGGTGTTAAATTTTTCCCCAGTTGACCCCCTCTACCTTGCTCCCACCCCCTCCCCAGGCCTTCACCCCATTATTGTCTGTCTCCATGGGTTATGCATATATGCATATAACTTCTTTGGTTAATCTCCTCCC